TATGAGATTAAATCTATATGAATTTCAAGAATTTTTGACGATCGTCAAATTTTGACACAGAAAAGCGGAGCTTCGCAGCACTTGCGATAAAAAAATATATACAATGCAAAATAAAAAACAAAAAATGTTAAAGTGATCACTTGAAAAACCGCATGATATAGAAAATTTTTCAAAACGTTTTTTGAGACTACATACAATCAACCTATCTTCTGTTCCGATTTGAAATCATGAAAGATCCTTTTACAGGCTTAAGAAATAGCCAAATAAAGTTAATGAAACAAACTAAGAGTGGCTTGTTGCTTAAAAAGTCTCAACCTTCAAACTTTTCAAAGAAAAACTAGATACACTTAAAGCCATTTGAATTTCTCGAACAATTAAAGATATACACTTTTTTGATGAAATTAACTACATTTTAGAAAACTAGATCAATAGGAAAAGTTTTTATTCTGATACAAATAAGAACACAGAGGCAAAGCTGTGCTGTGCAAACTCTACCGGAAGCACAAAAAAAAGCAGCTCTATAAAATCGATAAGAAAAAAAATAAGTCTCGAATCAGTAAGCATTCGGCTATGTCTCCGGTTCGATCTGCGAGGTGGAGATTAAGAGTGTCACACACTATCCACTCAGCCACGGACGCTTAAAACATCACCAACACTAGCCACAAATGGAGCAGAGAAAAAATTCTCAAGCTACAGCTCGAGTTTATAGCTAAATGCCACCAAAATAAAGGAATACTTTTTACTTTTAAGGAAAACTTATATTTGCGAGTTAGCTTTAAAAACGAAGGTTCGTAATAATACGCTCGTAAGTGTAAAAATAAAAATTCGACCATGTTTTTCGTGACCTTTACACTTTTATTGTTCGATGAAAAAAAATGTTGCCTTCTTTGTAACAAAGAACTGAAATGAAATTAAAGAACCAAAATCAAACCACGAAAAATCAAATTTGAGCATGAGAAAAATTCAAGACTTTCATGAAAAAAAAAACATACAAAAAATCATCAAGACCTATCAAAGAGTCTCCAGTGCTTTAATCATGATTCTTAAACAAAGCCAATATAGCCAACAAACAGTTGAAAAAGAGTCAATGCACTCAATTGAACAGAAAAAATGCTGATTGTTTTTTTTAAATACTCAACGTTCCAATTTTGAAAAAAGAAACGATGCCCTTAAAAGTCTTTGAAACTCTAGGAAAATATATGACAAGCAAATTTTTGATAGAATCAACCCAATGTTAGAAAACTGGATCAATAGCTAAATTTTTATATTTCGCTGGGAAAATTAAATTCCACTTGCGAAATCAGGAGTCGATCACGTTTTCCGTGATCTTAACACTTTTGCTGTTCGTGAGTGGAGTCTGCCTTCCCCTTTTACAAAAAAATGAACTGAAACTGAAAAGAAATCAAACGTCAAACCGCGAAAAAGTGTATTTGAGCCTGAAAAATTTTAAGATTTTTGCTGAAAAAAAACAGTGCGACCTATATAAGAGTCTAAACTACGATCATCGACTCTTAAAAAGAGTCAATGAACAGAAAGAAACACGTGAAAGAAATTGTTTTTCAAAACCTTCAAAATTTTAAGTAAAAAAATATGGCCTTAAAGCTGTCTGAAATTCAAAAACTGTTTATGATTGGCTCTTTTTTGCGGAAATTAACTCAATTTGAGAAAACTAGATCAAATGGTAAAATTTTCATTTCGCTGGGATATCTGATTATTTAATTCCAATTAATTAGAAGTCGATCACGATTTTCGAGACCTTTACACTTTCGCTGTTCGATAGTGGAGTTCGCCTTTCTTTCAACAAAAGGCAAACTGAACTTAATGAAATCCCTTAAACATTACGAGGAAAACTGTGTATTATGTGAATTTTAATCGGATTCCGCAACAAGGACGCTCTCTTTGTTCTTCTTTTGTTCTTTCGTTTTCTTTGATCATTCCAACAAAATTTTACACACAGGCGAAGCTGCGCTTCGCAAATAATTGCGAGAACACGACCAAAAAGCAACTCTGTCAAGTGCAAAAAGGTTCAGCAGAAACTCGAATTAGCAAAAATCTGCGACCTAGCAAATTTGAGCCTCACGCACATAACATTCAGCCACGGATGCTTAAAACCCCCAAGAACTAGCCACCAATAACGCAGCTACATATGCCAATAAATTGCCAGTTCAATGCAGCAAAAGTAGCGTCAAATACAAAATGATACAAATTTGCATGTTATAAATCGCAAATCATAAGGCCACATTATGTATAAATTATGCATTTCAAAAAATAGCGAGATATATTGAATAAAAAAATTTCTGAAACCGAGATTTTATTATTGTTATGATGTTTAAAACAAATAGCTTTCTTCGGTTCGCTCGATGAATTAAAAATGCATCAACTGTGTAAACTTATAACTGTTCGAATGTCAAAGCACATGTTATCAATAAGCTGTAAAGGTGCAACAAAATATCAAAGGTGCAACCAAATATCAGAAAATCTTATTGCCAATTCGATGCAGCAAACTCGAAGCAGCAAATATTATTGCTTTAAGTCGCAACAATATTTGCTACTTAGTCACAACAAAAGTCGAAACAATATTTGCGACTTGCGTTGAAAAAAAAAGAAAGTTAAAACTATAACACTAAGGTTCGCAAGTGTAAACATGTTCAAAGACTTGTCTCTGGATTCCAGAAACCTACAAACAATTGTGCGCCCTACGCATAAATTGTGCGCCTATCCAGTGCACAGTTTGGCCTCGTAACGAATAATTTTTCTATTAACACATGTGAGCAACATTTTACGCAAAACCTCGAGCATCACTCACTACCATTAAAACACTCAAGATGCTCAAATTAAATTATTTATCAAAAATAAACTTTACAGCCAAATCACAATTTAGTCAGTAGTAGTATTTTGGCTGCTGTAGAAATTATTTCTTTTTAGATGATGACGCTTTGATAGCACAGTGAAACTGGGAGAAATTCTCCAAGCTGGCACACGTTTTGTTTTTCTTGAAGAACTCATCTACCACAAGCTGTACACTTTGCATGTCTAAAACAGTATTTACTTGTCAATAAATATTGGAGAGAAATTTTATTCTGACAAGGGCGGGCTCACAATTTTTGCTACTTGAGCACTCTTGTATTTGGAAAATCATATACTTTTTTTATAGAATGAGCATGCGAATGCATAGTTCTGACAACAACAGCTGCTGCAATAGCGGCCGCAAGTCTTGTTTCTATCAAATTGATCCAGCGGCGACTATTATACGATAAAAAAACGTTTGCACGGAGGCGAAGTTGCACTTCGCATACACAAGCAAAAATAGGACCAATAACACTATTGGAAAAACTGGATGAGTAAAACTTTGAGTCTACAAAATTTCTTAAGTGAAGCACTCCAACTATGAGTCTACATAATTGCTAAGTGACGCAAGCCAATGATGACGTATTAGCATTCAATTAAAAAAAAATAAATTTACCAACTAACATGCCTCAACTTATAGAGCAGCCTATGGAGCAAAAAAACATAAAAAAATTTAATGTAATAAAAATAAAATGAATTTTTTTTTAATTTGAGACTTTTTGTGAAAATCCCCCACACGCCATATAAAGTACAAAAAGATAAATTTCGCTCCTAGTAGCATATCATTTATGGCAAATAAGCTTCCTTCAACTAATTTGGAACGATTTCTATGACGGATTAAATCTGCGCTTACGCGTTAATAGCGCGAAATATATCGCGCGTTAATTGTCATAAATTGGCAATTTTTAACCCCATAACTTTACAAAAAATGATCACAGGTGAAATAACTTTCCAAATTTAAGCTCAGGACGATACTTTTTGAATGATATAAAAAAAATCCCGTCAAAAATGGCTAGTTAAAAAGTCGAAATTTTTCTGAAGAAAAAAACCACCCCGAGCACAAATATTCCGTTACGAAAGTCGAGAAACAAAAATAGTATTTGTTTATATTTTGTTGCGGGTCTCCTTCCCACCTCTACGCTACAGATCCATGATACCTTGAAGCTAAAGTGCTATTTGAAATATAATAGTCTGTGTTAATATCCTTAGCAATGGCTGTACTTATAGCTGGTTTTTGATCAAAGGGAACACTTTATCGCAACAATACTTGCGTCGCAACAATATTTGCTACTTAGGTTGGAAGAAAAAAGATAGATCATAAATATAACATAAGCTTTGCTTGTGTAATAATAAAAAAGTGAAGAATATAAAAAGAGGCATTGAAAAACCTAGCGAAAAAAACGTTAAAAAATACGGAACCATACAAAAGCAGACGCAGTTGTACGACACGCGAAATTTCGGTCAAAACTCTCGGGCCTCTTTTTTCAGGTAGCTTGCATAAAATCATAATTGTCTCACCAAAACGCAAGCTATTAAGTTGCTTTGTAAGTGGTCAAACCATGAACAAATACGCTTCTGCTAACATCATGCAGCAGCATTTCCAATCTTTGTGATTCTTTCTGAATGTTGAAAAATTGTCCAAAAAAACTTCGAAAGAAAAGGTTGAAACAAAAGGTTTTCAGAGAAAGCAACGCGGACAAACTTAAGTCTTTTATAAGATGGCAAAGCACGCAAATCGACTGTTTGAAAGCTGTTTTTAATCATTTTTGACACGAACTGAAGATTAGGTTGAAAAAACCTGATACATCTGGTTCCGTTGAAAAAACCTGATACATCTGGTTCCGCGATCTAGCAGCATTCGAATTGGCCGTTTAGCTATAAGTGATTTAAAATTGCATAATTACAAATATACCAAATTGAAGCAAGAAATTAACCGATAATGACGCGTGTCATGCTCATGGAAAAAAAAACAGACAAAATAACTGTCGAAACTGAAACGTTCTACTTCAAAAAAGATAACCAATAACTGAAAATAATGCTCGCAAACTTACTTTTTTCAAGTGAAATTGAACGAATGCACGAGTGGGTGAGATGTCTCGCAACTTCCTTGAAGACGTCCTGAACAAAATATAATCTAAATAATGATTTGAAAAATTGAAAAAATATTATAAATTCCTAAGTACAAACCATGACAAAAATCACTAATCGAAGAAAAAAATGTCACCTAAATGATAATCCTTGTGACGTTGTTCTAGGGATAATGGATTTGTCTAATCAAAGTAAGAACAATAACTTCCTCTCGTTTTCAACATAATCAAAGTCTTGTCTTGATTACATATTACAGCAGAATAATCCGGCAGACCTTGCTGGCAATCTCCTTGTTCCTGTAGAAGGGAGTCAGGATTTTCCTCACTCCATTCGCGATGTCCTTTAGGTCGCTCAAAGCCACCACTTTACTGCGCGTATGTACGAGCGAGGAAGCTTCATTTACATTCTAGAACAAAATCGAGAAAAACTATCAATAATCAAAAATCCAAATTGAAAAATGAATGACAGGCTGCTGTGCAAGTAGAACATTGAATTTTTTTTAGCTTTTGCGTTAGACAGATGACTGAATTATTAAATGCGTCATTAGAAACAGTGGGTCTTTTTACTAATTCCGCCCAAATTTCTTTCTTTTGCGATTTTGTGATATTCAATGTATAAATGCACTGATAGAAAAACATACTGATAGCACTAGTAGATTTGGTTAATATAAATGAAATCATTGTATTCTTAAGCCGACTTCTAACAAGGCCGAATTTTGAGCAGATAATCGGCATTATTTTCCTGTAGCTATTTTGTGTTTTTTTTTGTCTTGGTAAAACTCTGCAGGTTATAGTTTCCAAAATAATTTTGCCTTAAGATGTGGAAATTAAGACTTAATATGTGGAAAAATTGATTTTTGGATGGAATAAAAAAAGAGCCGAAACAGATAATAATAGCTAAAAATAACAAAAAAAAATCCTTTTAAAAATTAGATTCGAAATTCAGTCTAAAATTTCCAGTCTGTAAAAATAGTCAGAAAAATTAGAAGTTCAGACCAACTTTTCACAGTTTTCGCATATGAAAATTTGCACCCTAGTAAAGTGGTCGAAATAGAAGGCAAAAAAGTCTAAAAAAAAAATAAAATTCGAAGATGTTCATCCATTAAGATTCGAATCTAAAAATTTCAGCCGTATAGAAATGTTGTAAAAAGCTTAACAGTTTTTCCATAGAAAGTGGAATAAGCTACACCTCTTAAAGTCGAAAACGTAGGCTACGCTTCTTAACGTGAGTAAAAAAACTTAGAAGTCACTCATCTCGTTGACGAATTTCAAAAATAATTGACGAATTTCAAAAATTTAAACCATGTCCTGAGCACGGTAAATATTCATCAGAACAGAATTAATCAATTGGTTTGGTTCGGCCACTTCAGAAGAGTAGTTTAACAAACCATTCAGCACACAGACACTCACAAAAACTTGTTAAAAATAGATAACGTGCAATTCCATTTGGTTATAGAGCTAGGTGAGTTAAAATTAATTCGGCTTTCGAAATGAACAGAGTTCCTGGTTTTTGCAAACAGCATTTATAACAATAAAGATTGATCAGCTTTCACACCTTCAAAACTTCAGCAAAAACTTTAGCAAAAAACTAACATGTCCAATATCTTCGCGACGAGTGCGCTTTTTCGAACCCTCGACGCATATGGCAGAATCCTTGCACACCCTGACTGCTGCAGATCCTGAGTCTATTGAGGATAAAAATGATGATGACTTTTTTTCAGCGGTTCCTCCACTGAAGAAGTATTTAATATTACTCTGATTGCATCCGCTGAGCTTTCTAGATGACCTCTTAGGAGACGTCGTCAAATCAACTTTTGATCCATTTAATTTTCCTTCGATAATATCTCCAGAAGTTTCATCAGATTGGCCCGCTGCCGTCTGTTCATTTTTGCTACTTTTTGGGACAGAACTGCCAAGACTTAGTTCACCATTTGTTTTTGTTTCCAAACACTGCTTAGATGTCAATATTATGCTCGTTTCGCCAGTTTTTTGTTGTGGAATTTCCTGCATTTCATTCGATTGACATGTTGATGTATTTATTATGAATTCTTCCTCTTTATGTGAACTTATTGCACTTTCTTTCTCGATATTGGTAGAAACAGTAGGTTTACAAAGATTTTCAGAACTATGCACTACATTGTCTTCACTCATTCTATCATGACTGACAGTCAATACCTTGTAAACTTGCTTCGCAGAGGTGGCAGATTTTATTTCGCCGATCTAAAATACAACAACTTAATAAATGTAGTATTACCAGTTCTCTGTGCACGTGGCTTATACGGTTCTGTCTGATCTCAAACATTAGAGCAAAAAATAGACAATAGCCGAAAAAAAATTATCTCTTCAAAACTTCATCATTTTGTTTGAAGCGAAAAAGCTACCGGCGATAGACCCGCAGATTATAATGTTGACTCTTTTTAATCTACCCACACACGCAAACAACGTCATGTTTTTTGTCAGCAATGATGTTTAAATTTGGTTAAAAAAATGCCCAGAAACAATCGCCGGCGTTAAATCAGGAATCAGAAATTTGTAAACTCCCGTTGAGTCGCAAACGAAGTTATTGTCACGAATTACTGAACGTATCTTCTCCCACTCCGACAGCCCAAAAAAGGACGAACACCTTCAAATGACGCAAATTATGTTCACTAGGCGGATAAAATATAAATCAAAACATTTGAGGCTTTTGAAATAAACTTAAGACAGAAAATTCTTTTAAAAAAAAATACAAAAAAATCAGATTGAACAAAACTACAATTTACAGGAATGAATCAAAACTTTTTCAATTACGATAAATATCAATTGCAGCACAAGAAAAAACCGAGATGTGCCAACTTAGCCGAAGAAACAGAAGCAGACAAACAATAGACCGACAATTTTCCTTAAACGGAATTTTTCACTGGAGTTAGATTACAACCTAGGATGTTTGGGTCCCAGGCGCAGTTATTACCTCTAGACCAACTGCGCCAGAAAAGCTAAGAAATCTAAATCAATTATAAATTAACCTATCAAATGATTCTATCAAAACCAGTTGCTAACCGAAAAAAGCGTAATTGCAAGCGTAAAAACTACTTCTGTTTTACAACTCAAAACAGATCATAGTAGAAATTAAGAAACCGAAATTTTCAGAATCTGAAATACATCTGATAGGGCTTCAACATGGTACCACATTTCTTCACCTCCTAGAACACTTTTTCGAGGTACCTGAAATTTCTTCGCCACTCAGTGCGTCGTTGGAATGATGAAAAAAAATCACACAGAGGCTAATCTGCACTTCGGAAACACAAACGAGAAAATGACAAAAGTAGCCCCGGCCTGAAAAGTTCGAAGCCAGCATAGCCAGCAGAAAGTTCGAAAAGTGTCAATGAGCGCAAGTAAACAGAGATAAAAATTGAAAAAAAAACTAGATCAGTAAGTAAAACCTTTATTTCGCTGGGAAATCTCAAAATTAAATTCTACTTTCGAAAGTAGAAGTCTTTCAGGTTTTTCGTGACCTTAACATTTTTGCTGTTAGAGAATGGACTCTGCCTTCCTTTCAACAAAGAAATTGAATCGAACTTAAAAAGAAACCAAAGTCAAACCGCAAAAAAGTAAAAAGGACTTTTCATGAAAAAAAAAACGAAAAAAAAAAAACAAAAAAAAACAAAAAAAAACATAGCGACCTATGTAAGAGTCTGGCCAACATTCATAGACTCTTAGAAAAATTCTGGTATGTACCGGAATCAAACCCCCTCCACCCGACTCGAAAATAAGGGTCGTACGCCGAGCACATGCGCGCCATGGGTGCTTAATAAACACATGACACTATCCACCAATAACCCAAGATACAAATATTTAATGTTGACGCAACGAAAAAAAAAAACTGATATAATGCTTATGTACCAAAAAAAAACAGAAAAAAAGCTATTTCAGCAAAACGCCACCAACTGAGCATTTATATTTTTTTTGCGAGTTGGGTTTAAAAAATTTAAAAAAAATTGGACTTCACAATATGATAAATCTGCTTGCGTAATAAATATATACACCTTCGTTACCTTTTTGAGGACTGCAGTTCTGTACGATATTAATTTTGTGCATTCCTTCAGGACTGAATGTTCTTCTTCGTTGGCTAGATTATCCAAAGCTTTCGTTTCAATTTCATTACCCGATGCTTCAAAATTGGTTTTCAAATGAGTTTTGATCATGGCTCGAAATTTCTCTCGCATCTGAAGCAAGAAAACATAATATATTTACGAGCAGATTTTATAGCCACACGTAATATTTAAATGATTAGAGCTCTTCGCATTCAAAGACAGAAATACAGCTAAATACTTGAACAGAGCTAAGAAACAGTAGGAATTAACTCATTTTACAAACATTTCAGTTTTCAGTTTTAACTTCAATTTCTACTACAAAACCCCATAATTCCAGTAAGTGGAAATTCACAGTGGAAAACCAAATATATCAAAGGACTTGGGTATCGTTTAAAGCAGCGTTGCTTACAGCTAAAAATACCGCCGCGTTAGTAAGAAAAATGATACAGCCTCAGATGTAGATTATCAAAAATGATAATGGTGTACACGTCACGTAGGTAGTTGGCTAGCTACAAATACCAAGTTACACCTTTAAACTCAGAGACGGTCGCTAGCCAACCACATATACCTGTACGATGTTAACTTTGGGTGCATCTGGAACTGTTTTTTATTTGGGTACTAATTGGTATGAAGTGCAGTCTACGAGCATAAAATTTTTAAAGCAGCTTTCAAATAATTGCATTTTTTGTTCTAACTGTGTAAAACCGAAGAGCATAAGCAGCGGAACTGTGAGAGTTGTAGTCAAGTCAAAGTGCTGCGAGCTTCCCACCAGAGAGTCGGAATCTTTACGTCAATTACAGTTGGTTTTCGTTCATCTTGGTTGCAGTTGTTTAATTGACACCAAACACTAGCCACACCAAATAAAGCAGAGAACAGATGCTATACGACTTCCAATGTTACAGTGATATTTCGAAATAAGTGAACTTTTAATTAACACTTACTTGCGAGTTGGGTTAGAAAAAAGAATGTTCGCAAGTGTAATAATGAATTTGTTCGCAAGTGAAATAATGAATTGTATAACTTTCGTAACTGCTACATAATTGTTACATAAGTATTATACACAGAGGTGAAGTTGCACTTCGCATACACGAGCAAAAATATGACCGTTAACGCTACTGGGAAAACTGAATGAGTAAAACTTTGAGCCTAAAAAACTTCTGTAGTGACGCACGCCAATGATGACGTTATAGCATTCAATTTCAAAAAAAGAACTTTACCAACTAACATGCCTCAACTTATAGAGCGGACACATTTTAACCAGTATACGGAAATAGCTGGTTATTGATCAAAATGAACACTTTCAAAATGAACACTAATATTTGCGACTTAGGTTGGAAAAAAGAGAGTTCATACTATCACACAAGCTTTGCTTGTGTAATAACACTAAGGTATTCTCGGCTGGTTGATATACCACCGAAATGTCAAATTTAAGAAAAAATATTTACCTGCACTGTGAGACCAGTTATTTTGGACGAAGAAGCATTAATCAAAGTAGAAAAAGCTGCATCAATTGTAGTGCCACCGCTTTCGACTTCAGCTTTTCCATTACTCTACAAAAACAGACGGCCAAGCAATTAAATTTGTCTATTAATTTTATGAAAAAGACAAACCAATCGACAGTTGGAAAAGTGTAAATGAACTCAAGGGAACAAAAAAAGACTGATAAATTTCAGGATTTTGATAAAAAAAATAGGACCAGAGTATTTTTGCATTAACTTGTGAATTCTGAAAAAAAATATTTCCACTAATTTGAAAAGCGAACTTTTGCATCAGTTCTGATAGCGTATCAAAGAGCGTAATTTGAAGTCTTCTTAAAGGTTAAAATGATTTTGAAAGCGAGCTACTTTCAAAAATCCGAACGCCCATAAAGAATTAGGCAGCAATTTTTTTTATAATAAAGCAAAAAAATAACTCGGACATCGACAAAGAACCATAAACAGGTAAAAAAAAATAGTTATCTATAAGGAAAAAAAGTCTAGTACTCGAATGAAAAATGTTTTTTTTGGACTTTTCTTCTAACGTGCAAAATACTTAACATAGGAAATCGATAGCTAGAACAGATTTACAAATAAAAGCTCATTACCTTCATAATATTTTTAGCACTGGTGAAGCCTGAGCTCGCTTTGGCGTAATCAGTTTTGCCTGATGCAGCTTTGCGACGTTTGAACTCATCTGCGATGACTCCATTGAGGATACTCTTCGATTCGTCATCACCACCTTTTGTTCGTCTTCTCTCGAAAAAACTGTCTCCGTCTTCGTCACTGTCATCATCCTCCTCACCTCCACTGTAGCTGCCACTGTGTCCTCCCCATTCACTGCAATTGAATAAAACACATTACTCTTTGGGGGATCAATCGTTAAGTAGCTAAGACCCCGATTCACAAACAAAAGGTCGGAGGTTCGAGGCCCACCATGATCCAAGCTCGTTGATATTGAAGATGAGGCAAATTTACGCAGTCCAGAAAAATACACAGAAAATTGCATATAACTCCTGACCAGTGGCAAATGCAAAAAAGAGCGCTAAACAGGCAAAACAAAGTGAAATAAGGAAAAAAGCTTAAAAATACACCTTGAACAAAAATTTTGATGAGACTGACAGTATCACGTTCTCACATCTGCTCCACGACCGAATGCGCCACCAACAAAGCAGCTAAGCAGCCAAAATTCGATCAAAAAAAAACTATTTAAATGTTCCGGATTTGAATATCCGACCTGTTAACTAGAAGCCTCGTGTCCGCATCTGCGCCAGGGTCAATTAGAAGTAAGCTAATGGCCCAGCTAATGTCAACCTGTTCTAATATTTTCAATCATATATTGTACTGATAGCGAAATGCGTAATTTTCAAAATTTCAAAAAAATGGACTTCAAGCAACCCTAGTGTTTCTCTGCTTCAGTAGGGGATAAATCGCTTTTTTAAAGGAGAAAACTACTACTCGCTCTTTTCATTGAAATCTTTATATCAGATTTGGCCGGTTTGTTTTCGAAAAAAGTGAAAAATTCCAAAAATCAATCAACTTTTTCTATATACATAAACTTTTCTCTAAAAAGGTTGGGAATAGCCTCTGCTTTCCAAATCCTGATTTCTAGATTGTAGATTTCCGCACTCTGACTTTTTTAGAATGAGTCCTTAAAGTCAGGTTTAGCTAAAAGTTATCGAGAATAGTAACGAAATTTCTTTAAAAACTGTAAAATTTAAAAAGGAATTTTTCCAAAGTCCACATCAGCTTTTCTACAAAAAAAAACAGGGTAAAACAGCTAGCAGACGGAAAACCTAAGCACCATGTTACCTTTAATGAATTATCAACCTCAGAATCAGCAGGTTAATTTTGAAAAAAAAAGAATATCTTTCCAAAAACGCGCAAAATTTTAAAAATTGGACTAGTTATCAGGCCTAATTTTTTTTCAAAATACAAACATAGCCTCTTGCACAGTTGAAGTTCGCTTGCACAGGTGAAATTCCATAAATTTTTTACTGAACTTAAGGAAAAGCTGCTGGAGAAGGGAGCTCCCCGGAATTTATTCTTTTGATTGAAACCTTCATCTCAGATTTGTACGTTTAATAATTGAAAAAAAAAAATAAAAAACCCAAAAAAACCTACTGAAATTTTTGAAGGCCGTAGAACGTGAGTTAAAATGAAAAAAGACTAGCAAAAAATTCAAGCACATAGAAGAGCAGACAATTTTTCCATTGATACCATTTTTTTTAAAAGTCGGTAGTTTTTGAAAAAAGAAACTTCTGCGAAAAGTGCAAAGTTCTCGAAAGCGCCGCAAAAAAACGATTAACAACAAATCCCATACATTTTCATAACACATTTTAATTCAAACAGGACCATCTACCACTAGCTAAAAATAAAGCAGCAATATATGCTATGAAATTGTTTATGCTTACATAAGTTTAAATATGATTAAAATGAAATATACCAAAATTGCCACCAAATGACCACTTTTATTTGCGACTTCGTTGTGTAAACAGCGTATATGCTACTTCTTTTCCTCATGGATCAATCGTCTTAACTTAATTTGGACAGTCCGGTTATCCAAAACTAGCATGGGACCGGACCACCAATAGTAAAGACCAGAGCTGCCGCTGATTGTAAATAGAAACGATATAACCTCCACGCCTTTGTTGAAGACGAATTTCAACACAGAGGCGAAGTGGCGCTTCCTCCAACTTGCGATACAACACAAACATAAAAAAACTTAATAAACGAAAAAAAAAATAGGTGAACCAAAATTTTCGTGTTTCCATAAAAAAATAATCACGACCGGCTAAAGTTGCAGTACGTGTTTGACACATTTTGAACTTGTTTTTACTGATGCGGTAACATATGTGTATATTCAAAAATAGGACCTGCAAAAATAAATGAGATACAGCACAAAAATAAAAAAAAAGGCTTAAATTAAAGAGATAACTAGGGGCCCCGCTAAATCTGGAGGTAGGTGTTTTGATAATTTTGTTATACTGATGTGTGACCAAACGGCAACTTCAAAAATTGAACTTGCCCAAAACCATAGCTGTTTCTCTACTAAAAAAAGTGAAGCGCGAAAATTTATGAAATTGAAATCTTCCCAAAGACATATCATTTATCTTACACAAAATTAAGGAGACGCCACTTCTACAGGATAAATTCTCGCAACCGGTTTATTTGATTGAACCCCAGGGTAGTTTATAAGAAAAGACAAAGTTTCTAAAACAGTCAAAAGTTCAAAAACTTGACTTTCCAAAAACAATATCTTTTTACTGCAAAAAGAAGGTCGTAGCCGCGTTAGCAGAGAAAATTTCCTAAACCGGCTTTCTCGATTGACCAAAAAACCTAAGAATTGGCAGGGTAGTTTTCGAGAAAAATCAGAAGTTCGACAAAAAACGGTCAATAAACCAAAATATTTACTTTTCCAAAAAACTATCTTTAATTGTGAAAAACTTTTGGGCATACCAAAGATATTCAGACAACCTGTTATTTCGATTGGACGGAAAAATTCAGATTACAGAGGATAGTTTACGAAAACAGTCAATTAGTTTCAAGAAACGGTAAGAAAAAAACATTTGTTGTCTTTTCCGAGGGCCCTAACATTTGTGTTAGAAATAATTCGGCTTAGTTGATTATGTAAGGGCGCTTCCCACATCAAGTTGTTTCGATTGAGCTCAAAAACTCAGATTTGGGAGTGCAGTTTTTGAGAAACAAGTAAAACATATATATCAAAAAACTGTCAAAAAATCAAAAATTTTGACTTTTCCGAGGGCCATAACTTTTTGTATACAAAAATTCGATCATGCAGGGGCACTTCCCGCAAACAGTTGTTTTGATTGAACCTGAAACATTCGCCTTGTATTTGAATATATTATAAATCAAGCAAAAAAGAAAAATCAATTAAAACTTAATACATCCGGCAAGCAGACAAAATTTGGGACGAAATCCATAAAGCCGATAAAAAAATCATTTTAATTGTGAAAAACATTTCCCAGTAACAAATATTGCATACAGGAGTTAAGCATGCCACCAAGCATGAGCATGAGCATGTCAGCAATTGATTCATCTGATTTTGTTAAACTGGTTGGTAACCCCAAAAAAGTTTACATTCTGATTTGATAACGCTTGCTAGTCGCAAGCGTAATTACTCTCCATGGTATTGTCTTCCAAAAATACTCTTTCTTAGTGTGTCCAACTCTAATAATTTTTTGCTAGATACAATTAACGTTTCGTATCACTTGCGATACAACGCAAACATAGTGTGGAAAATCAGCCGACCGAAATGAGACGAAAGCCGCTAGCTCAAAAAAAAAATTGAACACAGAGGCGGGGCGAAGCTTCGCATCACTTAAGCGATACAACCAACATAAAAAATAAAAGAAAAAAGTTGAAAAAAATTAGGCTTACCTAAATTTTCGTTGGGCCGAACAAAATTGATGGTCCCAGAAAAAAAACTCTCGGCCCTATTTTTTCATGCAGGGAAGCTTCACTTAAGCAGTGCTTTCGATTCAAACAAGATTCTCAGATAAGGAAGGGTAGTTTTTGAAAAACGTCAAAAAGTTTGAAAAAACGGTAAGAAGTCAGAAATTTGACTTTTCCGAGTGCCATAACTTTTTGCGAAGAAAAAATAGTGCGTAACCGCTTAAGCAGGGGAGCTTTCCACGACTATAAACTCGCATCTGTTAACGCAAGAAATTCCAATCAGATAAAGACAAGTTTACAGAAAGAAAAAATGAACAAAAACTCAATCAGAAAAACGCAATTAAACTACTATTGATAAAAAAAGATAAGAAATGCATGTCATTGAATAATTTTTTTAAAAAAAGTGAGTCCGAAAGCGTATCAATATTATCTGTACGTGAAAAAAATTAGTAGAAAATTTTAGTTAATATAATTCTGTTTTCACTTCAGGCTTGAAATCTTTAAAAAATATATGCAAAAACTAATTGGCTATTTTTTCTGCAATAATAAGAATGCGATATATACAACCGATCCAACAACCAAAACAAAAAATTTCAAGCTAATTTTGTTAATGACCTCAGAAAAAAAAACTTGAAAAATAATGAACTTTTTTTCAAAGATACTTCGAAAAACATTAAGACTTAATTTTTTCGTAGTTTTAACTAGTCTAGTGGGTTGATTAAGTTTTTTTCAAAAATTCATACAAGATTTCAAACACTCCTCACATTAAATTTTTAAAAATTATCGAAAAAACAACATTCGGAAAATAAGCCGACGAAAATAAAGCCGACTTCTTCCAGAGCCGAATCTCTACGAAATTTTTCGGCTCAAAAAATTCTTTAAAAAATCGGACCAGGATCCCAAAGCCCACACATATTTAGCAACTACATCAAACTACACTAACAATGGTGTTATTGAAATGATTACCATTTCAATTTTGTCCATTCTGTGAACACTCTAGTCATTCGGGGAAAAGTCTAGTACCCGATTGCAATACCCTTGCTTGTCTCAAGGGTAATAAGACAATTGAATGATAAATTGTCATCGTGTCAACAATTGAGCAGCGTCAACTAAGTTGTTTACCTGTAAATCAAAAGTAATCAGCTGTTTTCAGTTACAGGTTCAGCTCTTTTCGATAAAAGTTTCATTTCGGTTTCAGTTTATCGTATTGCTGAACCACTATGTAATCCATATATAGCATGGATTTTGTTGGCCGGAGGAGAAGCAACTTCCGCATCGTTCTTTTCTAAAAAAACGCTAGAGAATTGTAATCGAAAAACTTTCTTCAGTTAGCTAGTAAGTTTCAGTTTTTGGAAACTGTTCTTTTCAAAACAGAAGAGTTACAGTTTCAGCTGCTCAAAAACATTTCAACTAGCTAGTAAAAATTTCAGTTCGTATTTCAGTCCTATCTATTTTTTAGTTTCAACGTCACCCGTAAAATAACAGAAAAAAAATCTATGACTAATTTGTCATCAATTATGTCAAAACCGACATATATAGTTAATCAAGTTCAAAAAACCGTCTGCTAACCTGCTAATGCCTTGTCTTCCGCCACCGTACAGATCAGAAGTGTCCACATCCTCCCATGAAGTACTAGCTCTGTTCATTGCACTTCCAGGAACCCCCATGGACCCCGATCTCCCTTCGGAGTTGTGGAGGTACTTTTTCAGCTGAGACTCCACTTTGGGTTTGCTTTTGCAGTAGTCGCAGTGACTCTTGCAGACTAAGAAGTCCATCTCTCCGAAGTTCTCACAGATGCTCTTATGACGACATCTGAACACAAACAAAGCCTTGAAGCACCAAAATTCCCAGCTGAAAATCATAATAAGTCCAATTTTCCAAAATTCTAAGCAAAAAAAAAGAAAAAGATAAAAGATCTGGTTCACACGTAACTATTCTCGGCGCACTGACTATTCGAAAAATTGCATAAAATCCAGCATAATTATTGATAATATACCAGGATGCGACTTGCCGTACTTGAGCTCTTCGAAGTACTCGAACATGGTCTTCAGTTTGTCCATCGTGGACTTAGTCATTATTTCCCATTTCTGTTGGTCATACTTTTTCTAAACAGTCCATGTAAACATTAAAACATTAAAGGTAAAGTTAAGTGCAAAGCAACCGGCATAACTGATAGAAAATTTCCGAATTTTAAGGATCCATCTGGACTCCGGTTCATCGCCCAGATGCTGAGAAGGCATTCCTGTTTTGGCAAAGCATGTTTCTTTAGATTTTAGATGGATAGTAACCTTAGACTGAGAAACTGTCCGTCTGGTTAGGAACATCAAAGTGTCTTTTTCGGCCTTGGACACATACAGACGACAGACGCTCGTTTGTCCGTCTCTGCCTGCTCTGCCGGATTCCTGATAATAGCCAGACATGCTGGCAGGAATAGTCCAGTGCACCACAAATCTTTAACAAAAATATTAAGCAAAAATATTCGGGCATTTCAATCTATGGTTCAAAAACATAGCCAACAGACAGTTGCAAAAGTCTCATTCAACTAACGGAAACCGATAAAATATATATTGACTTATTTTGGAACATTTTTCAACTTTCAATTTTCGGGGACAAAAATATATCACATTAAAACTCTTCGAATGTCAAAAATCTTTTATAATTGGCCTTTTTCATAAAGCTGAACCAATTTGAGAAAACTGGTCAAAAGATAATTTTCAAATCAGCTGGGAAATCTCAAAACTGAAATCCACTTTCGAAACTGGAAGTCATTCACGTTTCTTTTCGCTATCTGCACTTTTGTTATTGGAGAGCTTAATTATGCCCTCCTTTTAGCAAATGATTTGAATTATGAAAATCAAAAATCAAACCAAAAAACCAAATTTGAGTCTGTACAACTTTGAAGCCAACTTTTTAATTCCTTCTCTTAGATTACCTTAAGTGTGCTCAATAACGATTAACCAAAATTAGTTGAGCCAAACTTACGCTTAATGATGGCAAAAATTTTATCAAACAATTGCAGTTCCCAATTTCAATTCCTTCCGTTTCTGGACATAATTGCATTTCAAAATATTCGAAACTACCTCTCACCTGACATCTGGTTTATCAACTCCCATTCCAAAACTGATGGTGGCAGCTATAACTGGAAATTTTCCAGCAAGCCACTCTTCCTGGGTGCGTGACCTCTCCTGACCACCCAAGCCAGCATGGTAGGCTCTAGATACTAGACCTCTCCTGGATAGCTCTTCTGCAACTTGGTCACATGACACACGGGAGCGACAGAAGATCAGACCAGAACCAGAGGGCTGAACAGACTCTAATTTCAAGCCAATCAACACAAGTCGATAAAGTCGGCATTAGACGCGAAAAAAAAACACTGAAACTGAATATCCATTAAATTCTAATTTCTCATAACCATACATCGTTTAGTTAAATCTCAGGTTTTAAATAAATGAAACAAGTGAAGACGATTGATGCGCAAGTAGTACAGAAGGTTCCACTTCCAATCACAGTTATTTTTGAAGAGAAAAAATAAGATCATTTTTAGAATTTTTGTTCTTTTGCTACCAAAAAATACTCAGAGACGAAGCGGAGCTTCGCAACACTTGTGATACAAATAAAAAGAATAGCATAGCAAACAAGCTGACAGAGAATGAAACGAGAGCCACTTAGTAAAAAAGTTCGAAATAGCATAAGAAAACAAAGATATCAAAATGCTGATGGTTTGTCTCGATTGTCAATGAAAAAATTTCAGTTAAAAAAAACATTTACTGCGCCACAAGCAAACTTGTCAAAAACGTTCGTGTCATTTTCTCATTGTAGATTATTTTTTTGCATTTCGGAAATTTTTCATTTAAGTCTAAGCGCAGATGGAGGGGCTGTAATTTGACGTGTTTTTAAGGTGTTTTTTCACACAAAACCGGGAGGCGCCGAGCAAATTTCAGATGGGATGACGCAAGCCCGACAAAACAAAAAATTAATCCCAATTGTGTACTTTTCTGAGGCTTTTCGGCAACTTTGTGTCGATGTCCAAACACTTGAGGGAGAATTGCACAAGGTCGTCAAAACCACTGCCAGGCAGGAGGTCACTGAATTGCACTTCATAGAACAGATTTGGTCTGTACACACTGGACTTGAAAGTTTGCACTGGCTTATGTAAACTGAGACTGGACAGAATGTCTTCTTCAACCTGAAACGGTACTAAGCTTTCTTGCATTTATCGACTCTGTTTTGACTCAAAGCACAATCCGATCTTTCAAATTTTCGAGGGGATTCGAAACTTTAAAAATTTAACTATAGGGTCAACCTTAGTTTTCTTCGCTAACTCTAATTTCGTATACTGATGTTTAACTTATCAGTCGAACCTATCCCGACCCTTAATTCAAACGAAGGTTTTCTATAAAAAAAACCGTATATGAAACCGGTGCTGTAGAAAATAATACGCATATTTGCTATCGGAAAAACCCTTGTTTATGTTGAGTTGACCATGCTTCAGCGATGGTTCTTCAATTTCAATGTTCCTAATTCTGCTGCAAGACATGTATAACTCCATTATAACAGATACTGTGGAACAACATAAAAAATCCGTAACAAGAAATCTAACACTATTATTATTAGACTGACCTGTTTTGTGGCGGTGGCAGTGAGTGCGATCCAGGGCACACTTGATGTCATGGACCGCAAAGTGCCCAATTTGAGGTAGTCGGGACGGAAGTCATGGCCCCATTGGGACACACAATGGGCTTCGTCCACTGCTATCAACACCAGACACTTCTTGTCCATCAAATCCGACACTATTCTCTTCAGAAAACAAAACAAAAAAGTTATTGGTCGCTTCAAAATTGGGTGTAACTATAAGATGAGTTCATAAAATAAATTTTCTGACATTTTCAACTTTAATGCAATTATTCATGCATAAATGTTTTAAAGAGTTCAAAATGTTGCACATTCATAATGAACATTTAGAAAATGCTGTGGAAAAAAAAGATGGACGGTAGTTCGTCATAAGCGGCGAATGTGAGCATTCGACATATTCTAGCATTTAATATATTGAAACAAACTCTGAAAATAGAGGTGACAATTATTGGTAGCTTCAAAATCTAACCTTAAAATTTCCAGTTGCACATTGTTCTGGTGTCACATACAGCAACCTAGTTGCCGGTTTATCACCCAAAATATCTTTCATAACTTCACTTCTCAATTTTGTACTTTGCTTAGAGTTCAGAGTTGCAGCCCGAATCTGTTTCTCCTTCAGATGGGCAATTTGATCATCAATTAATGCGATCAGAGGCGAGATCACGAGGGTAACTCCTTGTAAGATGACAGCCGGAAGCTGGAAACAGAGTGACTTTCCAGCACCCGTTGGCATGGAGACGAAGCAGTCTTTCTTGCGTTCGAGCACACATTTGACACAGTTGCGTTGCAGGTCATTTCTGAAATCGTCGAATCCGAAACTCTGCTGCAAGAGATATGTAATTTCAGAATCAGAAAGCACCATTCATACTGAAAAGTGCCTCTTTGATGAGCACTGTCTACAACCAAAAAAAAACCATAATTCTGATTGAAAGACGCCATCTCAAAACCAAATGGCTAGTATGTATTCCACCTGGGCGGGTTCAAGGGAGATGCGGGACGAGCTCCCTTCCTCGGGACAAAATTTCTCCTCAATTCGCTAAATTTAAGCATCCATTTTTTTGGGCTGTCCTTCAATTTAACTCACGACATTGATTGAAACAATTGCGACCATGACCACGAAATTTCAGCAGGCAAAATTGAGGCCAGAACAATAAAGAATAAATGAAAAAGACATCCACCGCCGTTTTTCCATCAATCAGCAACCCAGCTACACAGTTTGCTTTCCTCGGGAAAACGTTTTCGAAAAGAAAGGCCTCACAATTCGGCAAATTTCTCCTTTTCCACCCGCCCGATGAGTCTTAGAACGCATTTGATTGCATTTTAGATGCCAGGAAAAGAATTGCTCCAGAGTGAAAACCAAAAAAATCGCTCTTCAAAACTTACCAAACACTCAATTATCTGAGTGGTCAAGTGGTTTTAGGTTGATGTATTAAGTGAAATTACGGTTAGAAGTTTTTTACACAGAGTCGAAGCGGAGCTTCGCTACACTTGCGATACAATTACAAAATGTTTTTAAAAAATGAAGTTTTTTTCACAAAAACTAAGCTGAATAAAAAAAGTCCAGATAACTCCATCTGCAAAAATTACATATCTATGTCTCCGACGATGTTCGTAAACAACCTTAACAAAGATTGAGATTCAATGATCGAGCGACAACTATGGCGGAAAAACTTGTGTCGACCCTCTTTAAGCTGATAACGAAACTGTAGACATAATACAATCAAAACATAATACAGCATAAATACAATCAAAACATTGCATTACAAGATATTGAATATTATATTTGAAAAAACTATTTGCTACACCATATGAACTTAAATAAATTTGTTTTTGAATGATGATGAAGTTGAGCACGTCAACCTTTAAGTCAGTCGACAGAAAGTTTAAGAAACGTTGTTTACGAGAAAGTCTAGTTCCCGATTACAATAACTGGCTCTCGCAAGTGAAATAAGTTTTAAATAACCACAGTAAATTAAAAAACAGAAACAAGTACAGATATGGCACCAGTACAGTACAGTATCTGCGCCTCAGTACAGATATGGCAAATTCAAATTTTGTGAATTTTTTCTTATATCTATATTCTGAAAATCTATAACTTATTTCAGCAAAAAGCAGGTCGAGGCCGATAAAGCCGAGAATATTCCCAAAACCGATCGTCTTGATTGAACGCTTAACCTGAGAATTGGCACGGTAGTTTTCGAGTGAAGTCAAAAAGTTTCCAAGAAAAAACGGTCAACATTTCAATTTGGACTTGTTTGAAGGCCAAACTTTCTTCCAGGTCGAGGCCGATAAAGCCGAGAATATTCCCAAAACCGATCGTCTTGATTGAACGCCTAACCTGAGAATTGGCACGGTAGTTTTCGAGTAAAATCAAAAAGTTTCCAAAAAAAACGGTCAACATTTCAATTTGGACTTGTTTGAAGGCCATAACTTTCTTCCAAAAAAAATTGGGCGTAGCCAATAATAAACCATGATGCTTTAAGCAAACTGATTTTTCGATCAAGGCTATGACATTGGGTTTGGCAGGATAGTTATCAGAAAAAAACTACAAAAAAAATAAAAAATTTACATTTCCAAACATCATAGCTTTTTGTGAACAAATTATGGGCGTAGCCGCTTATTTAGTAAAGATTCACATGCATTTTTGATTAAAACCAAAAACTCTGATTTGGGAGCGCAGTTCTCGAGAAAAGTCAAGAAGTTTCAGAACAATGGTCAAAAACCGAAAATTGGACTTCTCCGAGGGCCAGAACTTTTTGTCAAAAAAACTGTCAATTTTTAAGAACACGGTCAAAATGTCAATCAATTGACTTTTCCGAGGGCGACAACTTTTTCTGTGAAAAAATGTGAAAAGCCGCTAAGGCAGGGGAACTTCCTGCTGCTTGCTATCTAAACTGAACGCACAAGCTCAGATTTGGGAGATTAAATTTCGAGAAAATTAAAAGAAACTGTAACGCACCTCCGGTGCTTCCAACAGAAAAATTAACAGGAAAACTGCTATTTATCAAAAAAACGAAAAGAATGTAACTGTAACAATAGACGGAGGCATCTAACGTCCCTTTTTCAAAAAAAAAACAAACGATAAAAAAGTTACAACTAAGGTTCTTTAAACATTAAAAAAGCCAAATCTCCACAACTACTGTTTCAGATCTTCGTACTTTCAACTCAGAAATGAAACCCAAAAATGGCCGTTATGATGCAACTGGACTTTCTATATTCAAAAATTTCATCAAAAAATCACTGAATTTATAAATGAGACTCTTTTTTAACTTAGTTCTTTCTTTTCATTAGTCGGTACGTATATCATTTGATGCCATCAACACTTTTTCTTAGTTGAATGGAAACTTTTGGAATATCAGAAAAAACTACAATTTCGAAAACTTATACAATTTGAGCAATATTTTAGGATAGAGACCACATCTACAACTGCTGGTAGTAAATTGATTTCACCCAGTCAATGCATCGACGATTCAAGTTTTGAAAAATAATTTTTATGAAATCCAACACTTTTGAAAAACGATAACAACGTCATATCTAGGAGAGCAAAATAAGTTGAGCATTCATATCTTGAGTATATATATAAATTTTCTAGAAAAACTTAGACAGCACCCCACCACAAGGTTGAGAAATTCAAACTTTGTTAAATTTTAGAATAAGTTTTCAAAATTGTTAAACAAAAATATTGAAAAATTTAAAATCTCGGAAACTGAACACATCTGAGCAGCCAATTTTGGAGCCAAGAATTGCAACTTTTGAGAGCCACCCGAGAACTTTGAGAAATTGGGACAACTTTGGGGCTGGGAGTTTCAACTTCTGTGAAATTTTGTAAATCTAATTTTTCTGAAAAAATGCCATATATCGGAAACTAAACGCTTTTGAGCAATCATATTTGGTGGCAAAACTTGTAAAGCCTGAGAGTAGCCTGGAAGCACCTCAGTACAGATATGTCAAATTCAAATTCAAACGTTCTTTTCTTATATTTATATTCTGAAAATTTTTGAAAAAATCAAAAAAAAAAACGTTAAATCTCAAAAACTACAGGATTTGAGAAGACAGATTTGGAGGCAAGATTCGCAACCCCTGAGAGTAACCTGAAAGGACCCAACTAGACTGTTGAGCAAATCAAATTTTGAGAATTAAACGCTGACTTAACACAGTTGCGTTGCAGGTCATTTCTGAAATCGTCGAATCCGAAACTCTGCTGCAAGAGATATGTAATTTCAGAATCAGAAAGCACCATTCATACTGAAAAGTGCCTCTTTGATGAGCACTGTCTACAACCAAAAAAAACCATAATTCTGATTGAAAGACGCCATCTCAAAACCAAATGGCTAGTATGTATTCCACCTGGGCGGGTTCAAGGGAGATGCGGGACGAGCTCCCTTCCTCGGGACAAAATTTCTCCTCAATTCGCTAAATTTAAGCATCCATTTTTTTGGGCTGTCCTTCAATTTAACTCACGACATTGATTGAAACAATTGCGACCATGACCACGAAATTTCAGCAGGCAAAATTGAGGCCAGAACAATAAAGAATAAATGAAAAAGACATCCACCGCCGTTTTTCCATCAATCAGCAACCCAGCTACACAGTTTGCTTTCCTCGGGAAAACGTTTTCGAAAAGAAAGGCCTCACAATTCGGCAAATTTCTCCTTTTCCACCCGCCCGATGAGTCTTAGAACGCATTTGATTGCATTTTAGATGCCAGGAAAAGAATTGCTCCAGAGTGAAAACCAAAAAAATCGCTCTTCAAAACTTACCAAACACTCAATTATCTGAGTGGTCAAGTGGTTTTAGGTTGATGTATTAAGTGAAATTACGGTTAGAAGTTTTTTACACAGAGTCGAAGCGGAGCTTCGCTACACTTGCGATACAATTACAAAATGTTTTTAAAAAATGAAGTTTTTTTTTCACAAAAACTAAGCTGAATAAAAAAAGTCCAGATAACTCCATCTGCAAAAATTACATATCTATGTCTCCGACGATGTTCGTAAACAGCCTTAACAAAGATTGAGATTCGATGATCGAGCGACAACTATGGCGGAAAAACTTGTGTCGACCCTCTTTAAGCTGATAACGAAACTGTAGACATAATACAATCAAAACATAATACAGCATAAATACAATCAAAACATTGCATTACAAGATATTGAATATTATATTTGAAAAACTATTTGCTACACCATATGAACTTAAATAAATTTGTTTTTGAATGATGATGAAGTTGAGCACGTCAACCTTTAAGTCAGTCGACAGAAAGTTTAAGAAACGTTGTTTACGAGAAAGTCTAGTTCCCGATTACAATAACTGGCTCTCGCAAGTGAAATAAGTTTTAAATAACCACAGTAAATTAAAAAACAGAAACAAGTACAGATATGGCACCAGTACAGTACAGTATCTGCGCCTCAGTACAGATATGGCAAATTCAAATTTTGTGAATTTTTTCTTATATCTATATTCTGAAAATCTATAACTTATTTCAGCAAAAAGCAGGTCGAGGCCGATAAAGCCGAGAATATTCCCAAAACCGATCGTCTTGATTGAACGCTTAACCTGAGAATTGGCACGGTAGTTTTCGAGTGAAGTCAAAAAGTTTCCAAGAAAAAACGGTCAACATTTCAATTTGGACTTGTTTGAAGGCCAAACTTTCTTCCAGGTCGAGGCCGATAAAGCCGAGAATATTCCCAAAACCGATCGTCTTGATTGAACGCCTAACCTGAGAATTGGCACGGTAGTTTTCGAGTAAAATCAAAAAGTTTCCAAAAAAAACGGTCAACATTTCAATTTGGACTTGTTTGAAGGCCATAACTTTCTTCCAAAAAAAATTGGGCGTAGCCAATAATAAATTGTGATGCTTTAAGCA